CCGATCTGGCATTTCTCAGCTTTCCAAAACAATTCCATTCCTTTGACAGAGAACATATGAAAATGAAGGGAAATGGGCCAAAAAATGGATTTGCTATTGAACTCAACTGTCTGGTTGTTTGATCATAGGTTTTGGTGATCGGTGAGGATAATTATAGTTATAAGGAGAGGCATGTGGGCCATTTGGCATGGAGGGACTCTGATTTGGTTGCCCATTCTTCCATACCACTCCTGTCTGCATTTTAACGCCATTTCTAGTGTTTGGGTTGATCCCAGTCCGTTCAGCCTGCATAGCCTGGAAGTACGATGAAGAACAGGCCATGTCGATGAGTTGGGTAAAAGCTTTAGGGCTTCAACAACTTCGCTCATCAGAGGTCTTGCCTTTGGGTCACGGTAAGGCACCGAGCAGCCAACTGAGCAGCTTTTTGAGAACCTCTGATTGAGAAGCGACCTTCAAGGCGGGGATCTATTATTCGATAGAACTTTTTCCTCTCTCCGAGACAGGGTCGGCCCACTCTACCAAGTTATGCTCCCCATTTGGTCGAGTTTGTCCATGGATCTTCGGCCAGTCAACATTTCAAGTAAAACAACTCCAAAGCTATACACGTCACTCTTTGATGTCAGGTGTCCTGGCACAAAATAGATGGGTATTAGATATACTTAGTTACGGGAAATACAAAAGAAAAAAGAAAAAAGAGAGAAGATATTTACAGGAAGAAAGCTGATCTATCACAAATCAAGAGACAACTATAACAAAAATCATAAATTACTACAATTTGCTAAATACTCGAGAGTTCAATCAATTCAGTAGTTTGTTGTTATACCTATAGTTACCTTTTCTTTTAATGATTTTTTTCTTCTCTGTGAAAGTAATACTAGAAGGGGCTCACGATGTGATTGCTCACATGTGAGAAAAAATTAGGGGGAAAAGAATACAAGGTTTATAGTAGTTGTGTGCAGAGGCATTACAAACATTGTGGGAAATGGGATTTTATACATGTTGGAGTTTTGAACAGATACAAATTATTGACCCCACAAAGATTGAGTGACAGGATGTATTAGTGGTTAAACTGTTAATTGGTGGTGGGGGTACTTTGGGAAATATTCCCAAAGCACAAAATTACATGCAAAAGGACAAAGGGATGAAAGTAAAACTATTGCGCCCCACTTGACATCTTGACATGGAACTCCAGTCTTAAAACCAGCACTAGAAAAAATAAACTACCACGTTAGGATAAGCTCAAGGGAAAGAGCCTCTGTCGTCTCTCTTAAGCCAAAAAATGACTGCTGTAATCACATCTAAGTGAAATCAGCCATTTACACATTTAGTATGCTTATCATTGTTGTGATTCATTTAAAGATTTTCCTAACATGTTTGAAAAAACAATGTCTTATTTTCTCCCAAACGTAAATAGAATGTCTACCATACAAGAAAACTCACAAAACTTCAAAAGATGACCATAGAACTTTCTCTTCCCTTCCCTTCCCTTCTTGTCTCTCCTACCAAACAGAGCATTAATGAATCAACCTTTTAATGGTTGGGATGAGGGCTGGCTGCTGACTGGTGTAGGAAGCCTTCTAGAAGTATGCTGGGTATTGAGCTAGTGTTGGACCACTAGAAATGGTGGTGGGAGCGGAGGTAGCCTTCAAAGGAAAGAGGGCAGTGATGGAGAGAATATAGAAGCAGCAAATCAGTCACCAAGCTGCTCAGAGAGACATTATTTATAAGAGGAGCCAAAACACAGAAGGCAAACTCACCACATGTCTGATAGCATGTGATCTAGGGACAAGTGGCTACATGCGACAACGGAGATAGTAGAATGACCCCAACTAGCAACGGAGATACTCAAGCTGATCTTCTGAGATGCTAAGGTGCAGGGATAGTTTGGACATACTCTTCAAGCAAAGGAAGGTACAAAGCACATCATGCCTGAGTTCAATTCAAGCTGAACCAAACATCTTATCTTAGCCAAACCATGCCCAAAGAACATAGTATTCTGCTCGGCTTAAGTCAGCTCATTTGCAGCTATATATATAATTCATTCTCACACTATAATTTTTTAGTTCTATGCATGCATATACTCAATTATTTTCATTTATCGCAAAAACCATCCCGCATCTTACAGTTCAAATAAATATATTTACCATTTACAAGGAGAAATAAAGGGATTCCAAGGTGAACCCTTATTTGGAAACCATGGTGATAGAGCAAGTTAATGGCAGTGTGAGAAATATGCCTGAAAAGGACACATGGGATAATCCATTCAAGTATTGCTTCTTATTAAAGGAAACAATCGAATATGAGAAAATCCAGTCCAGAGACCTAATGAAATAAGAGAGAGAGAGAGAGAGAGAGAGAGATGATTCCGACCCAAGGAATGCTAACAAAAATCTAGCATAACAATAGCCCTAATCATGAGAAGCATAGGTACACAGTTCTCAAAGAAATGCAAAAAAGAAAAAGAACATATAATTAACCATGCCGACCTGTCATCACATACTCTGGAGCTGCATAGCCATACGTTCCCATTACTCTAGTAGATACATGTGTCTTATCTCCTTCTGGACCATCTGCAAGTCCAAAATCAGAAAGCTTCGCATTGTAGTCCTGGAAAAACAAGTTTGAAAAAGAAAATAAAGATTAATGATAAGAATACTATGAGAATACTATGTTGTTCTACGGAAAGTTGAAGCCACATACCACGTCCAAAAGGATGTTAGAGGTTTTAAAATCTCGATATATGACTGGCCTTTCAGCTTCCTCATGAAGAAAGGCAAGACCCTTTGCAGCACCAAGTGCAATTTTCATTCTGATGGACCAAGGAAGAGGCAGAGACCCTACCACATAGAACACGGTTGTTACCAAAGGACACTAAATCAGTAAATATGAATAAATTGTCCTGTAAGACATTGACATGATGATTATCTCTTAAAAAAAATTTAAAAAACTTAAAAAATTTAAAAAAAAAAAAATGGTTTACTTGTTAAAAAGAAAAACAAAAAAAAAAAAAAAAAAAAAACTCCCCAAAAAAAAATTTTTTTTTCCTTTTCCCTTTTTTTCCTTTTTTTCCCTTTTTTTTTTTTGTTGTGGGGATTTATTTTAATTTTTCAAGAACCGTAGATAACGGATTGGTCTTGGTTTTACCTCAATCCGGTCCAATCCGGACCATGTTATGTGCCTGGTTATGAATTTTAATAATAATTTTTAAATTGAGTTTTGAGTTACGATTTCAGTATGGAGTTTTGTTTTGAGTTTAAAATATTAAAATTAAAAAAATTAAAATATTTACAAAATAAAATAAAATATTTAAAATAAATATTTAAAATAAAAATTATATATTTAAAATAAAAAAATATATTTTTTATATTTAAAAAATATATGATTTTTTTTAAAAAAATACAGCACACAAATATATAAAATACAATCCACATTAAAAAAATATATATATATATATAGATATATACAATATAAAATATTTACCCTAAGAAATTTTTTAAATATTTAAAAATAATAATTTCAAAAAATTTCAAAATACAATTCAAAATTCTTTTCAAAACTTATAACCAAATAATTTTTTTTTTTCAAAACTTAACTCAAAATTCATAACTCAAAACACAACTCTACACTGAAATCATGATTTTAAAAAAAACAAAATAAAAAATAATAATTTTTTGAATTTTTTAAAAAAAAAATAGAATTTGAAAAGAGTTTGGTTTTAAGTTTTGATTTGAGTTGTGTGTTTGGTTATGAGTTTTGAAAATAATTTTTGATTTGAGTTTTAAATAGCTTTGAATTGTTTGTATGGTTATGAGTTTTGAAATTTTTTTATTGGAATCATAATTTTAAAACTAAACCAAACGCAGGCTTTCTTCTCTCTCTCTCTCTCTCTCTTTCTTTTTTTTCTTTTTTTTTTAAAAATTTTTGAAAAAATTACAAAAAAATGAAAGATTTGTTTATAATTACAATAGAGGTGATATTTAAAATTTTAATTACAAAAAGTCTTGAAATCCCCATTTTTAAAGATTTTGTCATTCATCTTCCTCTCCACCTAGCCTTCTTCCACCAACCACCAATTGCTACCATTAAAGATTTAAAAAGGGGAGATCACGAGTAATAAAAAGATACATCTAGGTCATATTTGTTTGAGTGGACATGAGTTTTAGATTGAACTAATAATCCAATAAAATTATTAATCTGATGCTTGGTTAAACAATTGAAGTACGGTCTAAAAACCCATCTGAATATGATATCCTACATATGATGGACTATTCAATCCCACAAAAGATATGAGATATAAATTAGAGGATTTATGTGAGATATAAATTAGAAAATTAAGCCAAAGTTTAAACTATTAGTCATTCCATATAATCTTACCTCAATCCAAGCATAGGATAAGATACCATATAATCTTACCCCAATCTAAATATAGGATAAGATACACAATCCAAAATGATTCGTAATCCTAAAACTATTAGTCATGGGAATACTAATCCAACATAATCCAGTCCACTCAAACAAAAATGACCCTAGGGTTTTGAAAGGAAATTGAGGATTGTTTGATGGGATCTAGATTTTGCAAGGACTGGGGGTGATGTGGTGGTGGCGGGAGAAAGCTTAGAGCTGTTGCGAAAGGGGCTGGGGATGGAAGAGGGGTTAGGATGGCAAGGAAAGGTAATAAGTGGCAGGGGAGGGTGGAAGGGCTGGCCGTCAGTGTGAAACGTTGGAGGGGCTGGCAATGGCACGGATGAGTTGTTTTATGTATTTCAACTTAAATCATTTCTCCATTCGGATTCACCCCATTCATTCTCCAAGTTTACTTCAATTTTTTCCTTCTTTTCCTCTTCTGTTACCAAATTTTTATCAATTATCCTCGTCGTCCACCATTGAGCTGGCTTACACAATGGCTGTGTGACCAAACATTAGCATTCTCCCCCAGGAGCAAAAGATATACCTAACATCAATCTTAACAAGATTAAATTGCAAGAATAACAGTAAAAATATGCTTCAAGGAATTATCTTCTATAAAAAAAAAATTTAAAAAAAGAAAAGAAAATTTTATCAAAGACAGAATTCAGGAACATCTGAAGTTTTTGAGTCTCCAATTTCTAAACAAACAGAAGGCCACAAAATAGTGACTTTATGATTCTCTCAACTTCAACCCCACTGATCACCCCCTACACCAAAATGGAGCAAAATTCCGCCAACCTCTCTCACCTCTCTAGAAATACAAACAAGTATTAACTTTGACCCGATCTGGCATTTCTCAGCTTTCCAAAACAATTCCATTCCTTTGACAGAGAACATATGAAAATGAAGGGAAATGGGGCCAAAAAATGGATTTGCTATTGAACTCAACGTTCTGGTTGTTTGATCATAGGTTTTGGTGATCGGTGAGGATAATTATAGTTATAAGGAGAGGCATGTGGGCCATTTGGCATGGAGGGACTCTGATTTGGTTGCCCATTCTTCCATACCACTCCTGTCTGCATTTTAACGCCATTTCTAGTGTTTGGGTTGATCCCAGTCCGTTCAGCCTGCATAGCCTGGAAGTACGATGAAGAACAGGCCATGTCGATGAGGTTGGGTAAAGGCTTTAGGGCTTCAACAACTTCGCTCATCAGAGGTCTTGCCTTTGGGTCACGGGTAAGGCACCGAGCAGCCAACTGAGCAGCTTTTTGAGAACCTCTGATTGAGAAGCGACCTTCAAGGCGGGGATCTATTATTCGATAGAACTTTTTCCTCTCTCCGAGACATGGTCGTGCCCACTCTACCAAGTTATGCTCCCCATTTGGTCGAGTTTTGTCCATGGATCTTCGGCCAGTCAACATTTCAAGTAAAACAACTCCAAAGCTATACACGTCACTCTTTGATGTCAGGTGTCCTGGCACAAAATAGATGGGTATTAGATATACTTAGTTACGGGAAATACAAAGAAAAAAAGAAAAAAGAGAGAAGATATTTACAGGAAGAAAGCTGATCTATCACAAATCAAGAGACAACTATAACAAAAATCATAAATTACTACAATTTGCTAAATACTCGAGAGTTCAATCAATTCAGTAGTTGTGTTGTTATACCTATAGTTACCTTTTCTTTTAATGATTTTTTTCTTCTCTGTGAAAGTAATACTAGAAGGGGCTCACGATGTGATTGCTCACATGTGAGAAAAATTAGGGGGAAAAGAATACAAGGTTTATAGTAGTTGTGTGCAGAGGCATTACAAACATTGTGGGAAATGGGATTTTATACATGTTGGAGTTTTGAACAGATACAAATTATTGACCCCACAAAGATTGAGTGACAGGATGTATTAGTGGTTAAACTGTTAATTGGTGGTGGGGGTACTTTGGGAAATATTCCCAAAGCACAAAATTACATGCAAAAGGACAAAGGGATGAAAGTAAAACTATTGCGCCCCACTTGACATCTTGACATGGAACTCCAGTCTTAAAACCAGCACTAGAAAAAATAAACTACCACGTTAGGATAAGCTCAAGGGAATTTTCAAACCTCTGTCGTCTCTCTTAAGCCAAAAAATGACTGCTGTAATCACATCTAAGTGAAATCAGCCATTTACACATTTAGTATGCTTATCATTGTTGTGATTCATTTACAGATTTTCCTAACATGTTTGAAAAAACAATGTCTTATTTTCTCCCAAACGTAAATAGAATGTCTACCATACAAGAAAACTCACAAAACTTCAAAAGATGACCATAGAACTTTCTCTTCCCTTCCCTTCCCTTCTTGTCTCTCCTACCAAACAGAGCATTAATGAATCAACCTGTTAATGGTTGGGGATGAGTAGGCTGGCTGCTGACTGGTGTAGGAAGCCTTCTAGGAAGTATGCCGGGTATTGAGCTAGTGTTGGACCACTAGAAATGGGTTGGGTGGGAGCGGAGGTAGCCTTCAAAGGAAAGAGGGCAGTGATGGAGAGAATATAGAAGCAGCAAATCAGTCACCAAGCTGCTCAGAGAGACATTATTTATAAGAGGAGCCAAAACACAGAAGGCAACTCACCACATGTCTGATAGCATGTGATCTAGGGACAAGTGGCTACATGCGACAACGGAGATAGTAGAATGACCCCAACTAGCAACGGAGATACTCAAGCTGATCTTCTGAGATGCTAAGGTGGCAGGGATAGTTTGGACATACTCTTCAAGCAAAGGAAGGTACAAAGCACATCATGCCTGAGTTCAATTCAAGCTGAACCCAAACATCTTATCTTAGCCAAACCATGCCCAAAGAACATAGTATTCTGCTCGGCTTAAGTCAGCTCATTTGCAGCTATATATATAATTCATTCTCACACTATATTTTTTAGTTTCTATGCATGCATATACTCAATTATTTTCATTTTATCGCAAAACCATCCCCGCATCTTACAGTTCAAATAAATATTATTTACCATTTACAAGGAGAAATAAAGGGATTCCAAGGTGAACCCTTATTTGGAAACCATGGTGATAGAGCAAGTTAATGGCAGTGTGAGAAATATGCCTGAAAAGGATCACATGGGATAATCCATTCAAGTATTGCTTCTTATAAAGGAAAAGTTGAAATTTATGTAATATTGATTGTTATTGATTACAAGATTGATTGATATTGTGTTATGTATTACAACTCCTATATATAGAAGAGAAGGTGGTAGTAGGTGTAGTGTAGTGGAGGTGGTAGGTGACAAGATTGATTGATATTGTGTTATGTATTACAACTCCTATATATAGAAGAGAAGGTGGTAGTAGGTGTAGTGTAGTGGAGGTGGTAGGTGAAGTGGGTGCTAGTGGAGATGGTAGGTGGAGGAACAAATTGGTAAATTCTAACAGGAAACAATCGAATATGAGAAAATCCAGTCCAGAGACCTAATGAAATAAGAGAGAGAGAGAGAGAGAGAGAGAGAGAGATGATTCCGATTTACAAGGAGAAATAAAGGGATTCCAAGGTGAACCCTTATTTGGAAACCATGGTGATAGAGCAAGTTAATGGCAGTGTGAGAAATATGCCTGAAAAGGATCACATGGGATAATCCATTCAAGTATTGCTTCTTATAAAGGAAACAATCGAATATGAGAAAATCCAGTCCAGAGACCTAATGAAATAAGAGAGAGAGAGAGAGAGAGAGAGAGATGATTCCGACCCAAGGAATGCTAACAAAAATCTAGCATAACAATAGCCCTAATCATGAGAAGCATAGGTACACAGTTCTCAAAGAAATGCAAAAAAGAAAAAGAACATATAATTAACCATGCCGACCTGTCATCACATACTCTGGAGCTGCATAGCCATACGTTCCCATTACTCTAGTAGATACATGTGTCTTATCTCCTTCTGGACCATCTTTGGCAAGTCCAAAATCAGAAAGCTTCGCATTGTAGTCCTGGAAAAACAAGTTTGAAAAAGAAATAAGATTAAATGATAAGAATACTATGAGAATACTATGTTGTTCTACGGAAAGTTGAAGCCACATACCGCGTCCAAAAGGATGTTAGAGGTTTTAAAATCTCGATATATGACTGGCCTTTCAGCTTCCTCATGAAGAAAGGCAAGACCCTTTGCAGCACCAAGTGCAATTTTCATTCTGATGGACCAAGGAAGAGGCAGAGACCCTACCACATAGAACACGGTTGTTACCAAAGGACACTAAAATCAGTAAATATGAATAAAATTGTCCTGTAAGACATTGACATTGATGATTATCTCTAAATAATGGTTACTGTAAGAGAACAACTCACATTCAGAAGTCACCAGTATCAAATTGACCAGTACCATGGAAGATTTATGGACATTTTTATGCATTTTCATGTTAAAATAGTCATTAAAAAAACAAGCAAAAAACCTCTACAGAGTCAGGTTCCCTTGCTACTCTAATTAGGGACACATTTTTAGGGGATGCCATATTCTCTTGAACAGCTCTACCAAGCCAATTAATTTAGGGACAGTAACATTTGCCTAAATTCTAGTCACCCCAGGACCATGGAAGCACCTTGAAACCCAGGTGACAGCACTCCATGCAGGGAAGTGTCTGATCAAACTACTCACGTTTGATGTATGAAGATACTCTTCTCTAAGAGGGGCAAACCCACCCCAAAGTGTGTTGAATACCCAACAAAAAAACAAAAAAACCTTAAAATGTGTTAATGTAACTTCCTTTTCAGGAATAATACATCAAGAAATTATGGTAGCGATTGGTTTAATTTTCAAAACTCAATTCTGTTTCCAAATCATGATTTGAATCAAAATTTATAACCAAACAACTTTTTAAAATACAATTCAAAATTACTTTCAAAACTCCTTTCTTCTCCTTATTTATTTATTTATTATTATTAATCAATCTATCAATCACTTTTTCTCTCTCCTCTCTCCTCTCACATTCTCTCACATTCTATACATCAATCAATCAAAAAAAAATATATATATTAATCATCCTAAAACTATTTTCAAAACTCATAATCAAACAAATTTTCTCTTTTCAAATCATAATTCAAAAACTCAAAACACAACAACACACTCAAATCATAATTCTAAAACTAAACCGAACGGACCCTATGTTTCCCTACTTTTTGGAAAGTCCAAGGGACAGCACTCACGAAAGGACTCGATAAGGAAGTGTCTGACCAAACTATTAAATTTTGATGTACGAAGATATCTCTCTCTAAGAGTAGGGAAACCTTATGCAAAGTGTATTAAAGAAAAACACTTAAACCAATGTTAATATAACTTCTTTTTCAGGATTCCTCGTCAACAAATTATGTTTCTCCACTATTCAGAACGTCCACAACAATAGGTATCACATGAAAAATAGATTTCTACCAGCATAATTTTTTTTTTCTCTTCCCGAAAAGCAAAATCTTATCCAATGTCTGAATAAGAAAAATGCAGAAACAAAACTTTTCTGCTTATCTGAGTTTGTTCTCTTTAAAAATCACTTTTCAGTTTTCATTTTTAGATGTTATGACCTTGCTAAAAGAAATATTGTGAAGGAAAGCCCCTATAAGGTAGAAATTTCCTTGGCCATGACAGACAGTTTGAGCATTCCACCAAAGAGATATACATTATTTATTTAAAACATAACTAGCAGTGAGCCAATTAATGTGCAATGCAATGGGCATATTTAAAGGAAGAACAAATGCAGTTGCATACTTCTGAACAGGTGGTTTTCCAAGCTTCCACGAGGCATGAACTCATACACAAGCATACGTTGATCATCCTCAATGCAATACCCAATTAATTTAACCAAATTAGGATGTAGGAGGTCACCAAGGAAATTCACTTCAGCCTGCCAGATGGAAAGTAAAAAGAACTATAATCATAAGAAAAGTGTAGTAAAACAAAGATACCGTACTGCTGAAATCTTTCAAAAAAGGGAAATATTCATACAAGCCACTCCTTGTGACCCTGAAGTCCATCATGATTGAGGGTTTTTACTGCAACTGTAAGCCCTGTACCAGCTCTCACTGGCGTAGTTCCGCTCTCATTGATCCAACCTTTAAAAACACAACCAAATCCTCCCTCCCCAAGAAGACTCTCGGGTCTAAAATTCCTTGTTGCTGACTTAAGCTCACTGAAAGCAAACTTCCGAAGCTGAGAAGAAATTTTCAGTTCCTCGGCTATGTTGGGAGTGGAAGGAGTACTTCCTGCGTTGCTTGTGGTTGAAGATGATATAATTGGAGCAACTGGCTGGTCTCTGTTTGTATCATTTGTAGATTTACTCCCCACTATTTTACATGCAAAAACACCAAATGTCAGCCATTGGCTATCGTATACAAAGAAACATGCATAGTTTCTGAATATGGCGGAATATGACAAAAAGTTAGCAAATGCCCCACATGTTATCAGTAAAGGATAGCAGCAATTTATAAGTTTATATTTCTTGTAACCATCACAAGATTTGAATGCATTAAATAAGTATAGAAAACAATTTTTGTGCATCAAAATAAAGGATCAAAACCAAAGACTGATTATTTTATTTATTTTTTCTAACTCAACTCAACCCAATTACTTGAGGATTTATTTATTTATTTATTGAGTTTTCATACTCCCGAATCGTACAATCACCTGTTTGATAAAACTTATTTGCAATTGATTTAGCTTCAAATCGGAAATCACATGCTTAAGAAGTTGTATTTTGAAAAAATAGAGTGTTTAGTATGACTTCTAAGGTTTTCAACTAATTTGCTTTTCGGCTCAAGCAACTAATTTTTTTGAAGTTGTGTTTGTGATACTTTGTTTTTGTTTTTTTTTTGTTTGAACGAAGTTTGTGATACTTTGTTTAAGCCAGCTTTTTTAAAGCTGCCAATAAGTATTACCAAACAAGACCTACATACGTTTATATATATATATATCAAAATTAGCAAAATATGTTGAAAACCCATTGTATGTAAAATACTTCTTTAATAGTTAACACTTAGCAAGCACACACTTGCACGTACAACAACGGGTAGACTTTTTACATAATCTCAAACACAAGTTAAACTTACCAAATATATTAACCAAAATATGGATCCTAAATGAGAAGAAGTGTATTGTAGACACTCTTTTTTTCATTTTTCTTTTTTGGAGCAGCAAGAAAAAGAAATTTTATTAAAATATTAAAAGGAAGACTCCAATACCAATTCCATATAAGATCCTCATTGGCATATATTAGATACATGGTCACTGATTATGTCAAACAGTGCCAAGGCATTGATTGCTTAGTCAAAAATTGATACGCAACAACGCCATCATATATGCAGGACTCATTAAAATCCGCAAATTACATATCCACTTTCAAATGCATGTTAGATATGAAGGGCCCACAATCCTTATTACTTATTTCTATTAAATATTAATATGCTACATTGTTGGCCATTCTGGCTTAAAATTTTATTGCAAATTAGGTTTAGTTGATTATCTATTATTTTTGCATACAAAATGAAAAAAATAAGACCCTTTTTATAGCAAAAAAATAGTTTTCTTTAAAAAAGGTGTTGCACCTGATGCCAAAAGTTTTCGAGCAACTAAGTTAAAAAAAACAACCCAGAGGAATTTCACAAGATTACCAACAAGTTTCACAGCACCACATAATCTTTGTATACATCCAAAATATGAATAAAATCGAGAGCATTATGCCTTTTTTTTTTGTTTTTTATATATTATGGATCCATCATAAACTTACTAAATTCATGGTATTTTCATTATATATGAAACACGATGCTCCAAAACTCAAGAACACATAGTTTTTCATTTTTCTAAACGAACTTCTTGATTGTCTATATTTTTTGAACTTCTATCTCAAGAAACACATGAATATGACATTCCATAAATCACATCCCAAGATGAAAGCATATAAACATGATGCACCCTAATCCTAATATTAAGTCATACACCTTTTGTCATGCCTGAATCCACTCCATCAATATACCTTTGAAGGCTCATTTGACTATAGACTCCTCAGAAGATTATACGGGAGTAGATATTTAAGTTATTATCAACTTATTAGGCGTTTTTTCTTAAAAGTTGTGTTGCTTTTCTAGTTTTATAAAGTTCTATGGATCGTGAAATGGAATTTATGACTTGAATTTCTATGTTGGGTATTGTTAATTATAGAAGTTAGCTTTGTGTTTCTAGTGTTTCTAGGTTTTTCATAAGGTCAAAAATAGGGCTCAGGAGAAACCAGGGTGGTTTACTACACAGGAATCAATAACATAAATATTTGACAGTTGTAAGCAAGAAAAAGGTTTCTCGGGGAAAGAAAAGGTGGTTTTTGAGGTGGGGGTCAAATTCAATAAGATATAAATCTTTGACAACTTTAAGTTGTCTCTCTCTCTTTCACTCTCTTCTTTTTCTGTTTCTTCTTCTTCTTCATGTATACCCTCTTATCGTTTCTTCTTTATTCTCTTCCCTTGCTCCCTTCTAGAACTATTCTTTTCTCTTTTTGTTGATCTCTGTTCCATCCTCTTCATTCCCCAATTTCTTCTTGCTGCTCTTCACTCCTCTTTCTACTATCTTACATCTCCAATTCTCATGACATTCTTTAGCTCTTTGCATCTCTTCTCCCTCTTTTTAAATTAAAAACCCCCTGGCTTAATTACTACAATTAATAGAACCCTCCTACCAGGAGCTAAATAAAAAAGTGCTCCTCTATATGGGAGAGGTTCCATCAGTGCCTCATATCTATGTGAAAAATGAAACAAATTGCAGTATGATCCAGTGGTGAGACATGCATATCATTTTACAATCTCATGTGTCTCATAAATACGCTTTATGGTGTTATAAACCTACTTGTTCTTCTTCATTTTCATCCATTCTTTCTTTATTTTTTTTGTTTTCTTGCTCAGACAGGCTACCTGGTACTGAGCCGGAACAGGCCAAAATGGCAAGCCATTACAGAATTTCCAATTCTTTCCCTTTTGTAAGAGGTAACTAAGATTTAAAGATTGGATAAATCACCAACTGATCACATTTTGGTAGGTTGGACTTCAACGAACAAAATAAAACATGCACGTAAAGAATCCAACATAGATAAACACACAAATGGAAGTTGATCATATAAACAAACTCTCGTCAGACCAAAAGGTTAACTAAAATCCATAATAAAGATCAACATTTATCAGCAACAAATAATATCACAGAAAACACGCTCTTCAGATCAAATTATGGAATCAAACCCAATGTACACTTAAACAAGCACAAATGCAATAAGATCACTGCAAGAATCGACCAACATATGTTCATTTAAACACAACAGCACGCGTCAAATCAAGAAAATCATATAATAGAGAATAAACGCAACAGATGTAAAAATATACGTATCAGCATACACCAACAATTTCACCAAAAGTCGTAAACAACTAATTTTAGAGTAAATTGTTTTCAAGAGAATACCACTAGAGCCACTTATAGAGCTATCAATTTGGGACCTTGAGGTCATACACCTCCCAAATAACCTGAATTTAAACCAACACCCAGGCCCCTCCGCATCATCATCTTTCTTCTTCCTCTCCTTTGATTTCTCCACATCCCAAGTCCCCACCTTAACAGCATCAGCATCAAGACCTAACCCCATTTTCCTCCAAACCAAACCAAACCCTAAATTAAAATACCCATGTACCACATAAAAACTTCAATCCATCAAATGTCTCTCCCTTGTACAGAATTTACCCTAATCCTAAGATTCTGAACATCAAAACCCACTCAAAAGGGCAAAATCAAAGAACCACCCAAGAGAGCTCTCAATGCTAAAACATGAGTAAAGGGTTTAAATTCTACACAGACCCGAATCGAAAACCACAAAATCAGTCAAACCCAGAATGACGAGGCTGTGAATCGAAGAAATGGGAAGGACCCAGATCACAAAAACCACATGCAACACAAAACCCACATAGGGTAGTGATTATGAAAGCAACATTGGTGTCAAATGTGAAATTCCGAGCCATGAAAACCCTAGACATTGATCTAGAGAAGCTGAAGAAGGGTTCATGGTCGAAAATGGAGTCCGAATTATCAGTCTTACATGTATAAACGTATAGACGTATATGTATATACTCTACACAGAACACAAAGAGAGACACTAGAAATAAATAAACCTATCGAGGTTCGAATATAATCCCTAAAGAAAAGGGTTTTCGAAGAAAAAGACGACGACACAGGTTGCTTTCGAGGACAAGCGAAGAAAAACAGTGGTTCTAGAGAGAGAGTGAGTGAGTGAGTGAATGTGAGAGATAGAATAGAGTGAGTATAGAGAGAGAAACGTGCGTTTTGCGTGAAAAGCAGTGAGAGAGAGAGAGAGAGAGGATGCTCCAAAGGAGACAGAGAGGAAAAAGTAAAAGCAACTGGCGGTGACAGAAGTAATGTCAATTGTGAGATATTATTGGTGATGTAGTTTTGTGGGGTCCGTTTTTCGCTTGAAAATTTGAGCCTATTTAGCAAAGCCCAATGTAACCGTCCTTTTTGTGGGGTCCACTCTCTTGGACGCTGTCATATTTGTGTTCGGGCCGGGTTGATCCGACCGGCCTTCGTTTTTTAAAAAATTTTATTTATGTTTAAATTCTTTATAAATTGAAATTTTTTTATTTTTTATTTTGTTTAGGCATGGTTTGAGAAGTGGATTTAGATAGATTTTGGCCTATTTTAGTCACAAAAGACAAAAAGACTATTTTAATCAGAAAAAATAAAACATCACATTCAATTCATAATCATTACACTCTTCTCTCACAAAAAAAGTCAAAAAGTCAAAAAGCTCTTCCCAAACCAAACTTTTTAGCCCAGGCTAAAATAGCCCAAAAAGTCAAAAAACCAACTCACTTCCCAAACGACACCTTAGTGTGATTTATACTGGTTTGTTTTCAGAAGTATAATAGAAGAGATTAATAGTGAGAGAATTAATAGTGAGGGGATTAAGTAAAATTGTGTTTGTTTTGATGATAGTTGTTAGTGGCCTCGTTTGGGAAGTGGCTATTTTAGTAGGCTATTTTAGTTTTTGGTTATTTTAGTAGGCTAAAATTTTTGTGTTTGGGAAAATGATTGGATTTTTTTGTGGTTAGATGTGATGTTTGTGAGAGAAAAAGTGAAATGATTATGGGTTTGATGTGATATTTTGTCTTATTAGCTATTTTAGCCTATTTTGTCTTTTTGTGATTTTTAGCCTAAACTAGGCTATTTTTTTTCTTCCCAAACACCCCCAGTGTAGGGATTGTTAAATTATTTTTATATAAAATAAAAAAACAAATAAAAAAAATACAAAAACATTAAACATTAATGTTTTAAAAAAATGCCCAACATGTAAAAAAATTTTAAAAAATAAAAATAAAATAAAAAAATTTCAGAAAAAAATAAAATAAATAAAATAATGATTTTTACTTAACAAAAAATTAAACATTAATGTTCAAAAAAAATGTCCAACATGTAAAAAATAAAATAAAAAATAAAAAATTTCTAGTCTGCTGGACTATTTTTCTAATACCAAATCCTGGAGGCCCATTCGAATCTCATCTGCAAAGCCTATCCTAAGCCCTTCGGCTTAGCAGTCTCTTCTTCAACTCTATAAACAAACAGCACATTAAATGGGACCCACAACTATCCTAATCTCAATTCCCCTCTCATACCCCAAAACAAACGGGGCCTCAAATGATTTTTACTCACTCTTTTGGTTTGAAACTTTTAAAAATAGGTTTTTGAGTTCTTAATTCATATTTTTATATTTTTAATAAATTTTAAAACTATTTTAATATTTTTTTTACTTTTTAAATTCACTTAATTTTTATATACTTAAAAAGTATAAAAAAAATTTAAAAATTTTATTGAATACATTACAATACGAAAATAAAATAAATCTTCATTTTCTTCCCTTTTTTTTTTGTATTTGGTGAATCTTTTTTTTTTTTTAATTCACAAATATTATCATTTTAAGTATATCTAAAAAAGTAAAATTAAAATTAAAAAATCATTAAAAATAAAAATATACGAAGTAAAAACTCAATTTTTAAAAAAATAGAGATAAGGAAGCAAATTTTTTTCACGTCTTATGTTGATTCATTCAACAAACATGGTGTGTGTTGTAAAGGTGGATTACCCCTTCTTTTCTTTCTAAACTAGCGGTGACCCGTGCTATGTACGGGTAAGTAACAAAAAATAGTAAATAATGTTAAACATCCTAAAAATTAATAATTAAATACTATGATATTAATTTAGATGGGTATTGAAATAATATATTTAGTGATCTTACTATATTTAATTAAATACATTTTAGAAGAAAAAAAATTCAACTGAAAATTAAGAGTGAGAGTGGATTCTGTAAATATAAGATATAGATAAAAACAAATTAAGTTTAAATTTGAAGATAAACTATAAATATATATATATATATATAAGAAAATTAGATAAATCCTAGAAAAATGAGGTAGAGAGAAATTCAGTAATTGAAAAAAAAAAAAACAAAGTTGAAATTTAAAATTAAAAAATAAGATAAGACAAACTTGAAAAGAAAAATAAAATCTAATATAACTCTAATAACAAAAGAAATGGAGAGGGTAATAATTAAAAAATTAGATAAGAGTGAAATGCCACTTATAATTTTTTAAAATTTGTAAAAAAAAAAAACTAAAATAAAATCGAGGTAGTATGTTAAAAATCAGATAAGATTTAAGTGCCACTTATAATTTTTTAAAATTTAAATTTTGTGTAGTTAAAAAATAAGCAATTGTGTTATCTTATTATACAAATTTTAACTCTATTTTGTATCTACTACCTATAATTTAATCAAATTTTGCCTTCTAAAGCTACTTAATTGAAATAAGAAAGAATAAAAAATTATAAGAATATAGAAAGTGAAAATCAGAATAAAATAGAATAAACTTAATTGAAAATTAAAAGCAAGAATCGATCCTGTAAATATAAGATAAAGATTAAAAAAAAAATCAAATGCAAATTTGAAGATAAATTATCCAAATATAGAAAGAGAAACTTAGATAAATTACAAAAGTAAAAAGAGAGCAAAAAACACAAATATGAGATTTAAAACATGTGCTTCTTTTCACATAAGATGCTAAAAATCTTGAATAATTGGTTAAATCAGCCCGTTTTAATTTCTTTAGAACGTTATTTTTGTTCTCCAATCTTTTTGCCTAATTTCATATTGTCATAGAAGTTAGGTTTTGAGATTTATAAATTTATTTATTTATTTATTTCAAATATCCTTGGGTAAGACATAAATTGATGAAGAAATTTGAATTAGAGTCAAACTCATCTTTTATTTTTAAATATTTTAAAAATCTTTTATCATTAAATATTTTGAAAATCTTTTATATCCATGCCATAAGTAATTAAAAAGTGAAATAAAAAAATATAAAAAAAGATAAGAAAAAATAGGAAAATAGAATGAGAGAATAATGGATGTGCCACGTAGGAAAGAGGTTCATGAGATGTTAGGATTGAGAGTTTGGAATTTTTTAAGAAATCACTACATTTGCTTATGTAGATAGTATAGATATGAGCGTTGTCGTATGTCCTTATGTGGGCAAATTACATATATCTTTATTGAGGTTTGGTTAAATTATAGATATTTTTTTAAAATTTTAAAAATTACATTTCGTCTCTTGAAATTTATATTTTCATAATAATTTATCCCTTGAAATTTATATTTCATAACAAATTACTCCCTAATTTGTTATGTAAATATAATATTCAGGAGGAAATTTGTAATTTCTCAACCCTCATGAGGTATTTGTAATTTAGCCAAACCTCAAGAGAGTATATATAATTTTCCCTTTTTATATGTTTCTTTCTAAATAGAAAATTTACCTGATAAAAAATAGGGAGATTTACCAATAAATCCCAAAATGTAAACTTATGAACCAATTAATCCTATTTTTATTCTAATAAACCATTTAGTCCCATTTAATTGTGAGGGACATAATTACCCTCGTCTAACCGTTTAGTACCATGTTTCACTTTCTCTCTGCACCAACCAAACTTCCTAAAAAACCCAACCCCGAATTCTTCTGTTGACCCAACTCACTCACTCAGATAACAATGGCGATTAAACCCATCACTCCACTTCTCACTCTCTGTCTGATCTTCCTTCTCTATCTCTCCACAGCCTCAGCTTCGTTTCGATCTTCCTCCAAATGGGTCCCTCGATTCCTCAGCAAATCCTCTCTCCTCACAAAACCCCAATCCATGACCCAACAAAAATACCAGTACGAAACCCGGTACTTCGAGCAGCCTCTCAACCAGATACACACACACACACAGATACACAGATACACACACACACACACAGATACACACACACAGATACACACATACATTACGAGGGGCAGACACATGATTCTGGGGCAGACACACACACAGATACACACACACACACACATCACCACACAGGCAGAGACACACACATTCACAACACACACTGAAGACCGAGATGCATACGCATTGATAAATTTGGACACACACCCAAGGGGCCGTTGACACACACACGGTTGAGGGAGGGAGAGGATTACACCCAATAGACCAGACACACATACACGGTTTAGAGAGAGAGAGAGCATCACACACCATACACAGACACATACATGCATCCATACTTGAGCGCTTGAGGGAGATGGACAGGGACGACACACGAGGGACCTCTCTCTCTTTCTAATATGGTGGCAAGAACTTGCAGAGAACGAAATGGGTGAGGAAGTTGGACGAGATACAACAGAATACCCTAAGACGAAAAGGCTGAAACGTGTACCATTGAAATATCAACTGTGATAGCCACAAAATCGAAAGAATCACGTGATCCCATAACAGAATATGAAAACATAACAATAAAGGGTGAAATTGTCCACACAGTGACACCACATATGGAAAATAGGATCAGACAGAAACAACCCTCTCCACTAATAGGACTTATCCGAACAAAAGAATAAAGTTAGGACTAATTGGTTTAACAGTTTGTGAAATGGGATTTATTGGTAATTTATCCTAAAAAATATTAATTTGACTTTTTAAAAAATAATTTATAAATTGATTTACAGCCGTCCAAATTAATAAGCTAACGTTTTGTAACATTTACGTTTTTTTATTTATATTTATAAAAAATTTATAAATTGATTTTTGTTTATTTTTAGAAAAATATAAACTACAAACGTGTTTGGTTTGAACAAAATATTTGAAAAATTTTAAAAATATAAACTAAAAAATATGTTTGTTTAAACTTAAAATATTTAAATTTATTTTTTATTATTTAT